TTGCCAGTGTCACCAGAATTAACCTGGCAGTGGTTGTCTCCTAATAGTTGGAAAGTGAAGGGCCAGAGGGAAGGTGTATTTTGATGTCTTGCTCATGTTGTCTTTGGCTTTTATTTAAAAAAATAAGGATGAAAGGGATTTTCCTCCCCCTTTTTTACTGCTTCAAGGAGAGGAACTTGATATTGCTTAACCCACAGCTGCTGGAAAATTCAGTTTGTGTTCTGGTGAATTTTAACATTTCACAAATATTGACAACCTGCAGAAGAAGTAGGCAAATATCATTGCTTCAGTTCAGCTCAAGGGGATGGTAAACTGCACGAGTTCCTTGGTCCCCCTCTGTTGCTAATCTTCATGCGATGCTGCCCGAGCTGTCCTTCCCTGCGAGGCCAAACTGCCAGTGTGGCTGCAAGCAGCTGCTCTCGGTGCAGTTAATAGCAAACAGGGCAGGGTTTTTCTTAAAAGCCGTGTATTGCTTTGCAGTTCCCAACAGCACGTGCAGCTGTGTGTGTTTTCAAGGATTCAGATCTTTCTCTGAAATCCTTGAAGAGAGAACCAAAAACAATATATGCAGCCAAAACCAGATGTGTTCCTTTGGGCCCACATTTAATTTCCTTGCTTTGGTGTCATTTCGCTAGTTAATTTCTCTCGCTTCTGGAGACCACAGCTGAGTTTGTGTAGAACACGTGAGGCTTTCATTTTGCCTTACACTGACATCACTGATTAGTTACAAGCCATGAGCTGAAGAGGTTTTTTGTTCGTGTAAGAAGCTCATTTGAATTAAACCCTAGGTGTGATGAGACAGTGCATGTTAGATTCGTGATTAGTTGTCACGTAATCCCGTGACAGTTATATCAACACATGTGTCCTAGAGAGCAAAAGGAGCTGACAAGATCTTGCTGTGTGAGGCACCCCACTGAAAAGCCTGCATTTCTGGAAAATACCTGGCAGCAGTGGCTTCACTGAGGAGCAGCTTCTCTCACCACAGCTCGTGCAGCTCGGCAGCAGCCGCCCCGGCAGGCTGGCTGCCGTGGAGTGAGGTTTGGGGTGGCCGAGGCCTGCAGGAGCGCCCCAGCACCCGGCGGCAGCACTCACCTGGGAAAAGGCTCTTCTCTGTGCAAGCAAAACCTGGTTGGCTTAAAACGCTTTTCAGGAGAGAAAGAGGAGGAAAAGAAGCAATAGCTACAAAAGTCTTTCAAAGTGCTTAACTCTTTATATGGTATGACTGATGTGGGTAAAAAAAAAAAAAAAAAAAAAAAAGACAGAAAATAAATTTCATAATTAGTATTGACACGGTCGTAAGAGGTGTGGCCTTGGATAGGAATACATAGCGGCTGAGAAGGAATGGCAGGGTTTAGAGACGGATCTAGCCTTGGAGTGAAACTCAGTTTCCTTAAGAGAAGAGGTATCCAAGGCTATTGAACAGATTTGGGTAATGCAGATGTTCAGGTCAGATGAATTACAAGAGTTTTCCAGTGTTGCTTGCTGTAAACCTCAGGCATAAATGCAAATCATGAATTAAGGAGTTTATGCTGCATGTGAGTATGTATATGTTGGATGCCAGAGTGTGAAGCAGACAAAGCACATGGGATCTCACCTTTGCTCTGACTTGATTTATTTGCTTATTTACCTGGCTGTACTTTATCCCCTGAGGATAGGATAGAAAGAAGCTGGTAAGACTCTTAAGCCAACTTTTAATTTGCACAAGTCTAGACTCTAAGCTATACAAAAACCTGAGCTCGGAATTGGAAATCCTGTTTTTTTTCACGGGTACGGTAGGTGACTTGCATCAAATAAGAATGACTTTACCTTGGTTTCCATCTCTGTAAGGTGGGTGACAGTTATGTTGCCTTCGATTCAAGAGTGCTTTGGGATATACTCATGACAAGTTTAAGTACAGAGTTAGCTGATGGGCTGTGTGATTTGCAGAGTCGAACCCAGGCATGTTTCTAGCAAGACCTTGCCATTGACCAGTGAAGTGATGTCCTCTCCCGTCATTGCCACCTACAGACTTTGTGTCCGTGTGCTGCCTATTGGCTGCATTCCTGTAGTTTGCCCTTTCAAAGGGCAGTTAATAAACCGAGTGCTGTGACCAGCTCTGCCACACGCTAGTACAGAGCGTTTAGCAGGAGGCAGCAGGGTTGGACAGGTGAATAGCTGCAGGTTTGCTTTTAGGCCTGGCCTGGACCGTGTTTCTGTTGCCTGTCAGTAGTGTTAATTATCACAGGTATATCAAACTGCTTCCCATAATCATCTAAACCCTCAGCTAATACCTGGGCATTTTCTGCATAGACAGTGCAGACCCCCAGGTAATTTTGGGTACAGACCTGGGGAAAGCAGGAAATTGAGGTGACTTGGTCTCTTGAACTCTCCATCTGACCCATTCTTTGTTAAGGATAATTATTTGCTCTTTGGGGAAACATGATTCTGTCTGTGCACATGAGGTTTTGCAGAAGCATAAGACTAGGGAAGCTCTTCCTCGTTCCTTGCGCTTCTTCTGAGGTTCCACAATCCTACCACAGTGTCCGTAGCGCTCTCGGGGGCTGCTGGCTTTACTGCTGACTGAACGCAGAGTGTTTTGCTCAAAGTGCAGGGTCTTGCTCTGGTGAAGTACAGGTGCAATGGGACTCCTTTAAGCCAGTGTATCAGCAGTCTAGGCAGATTCTCAAGTGTCTTACAGGTCAGACAGAATATTTGTCGAAGCTGGTGAGAAAGGGAAGGACCGTGATCTTCTCTAACAGACCTGGGTTTTACAATGATGGTGCTAAGCCATTCAAGGGAAAACAGCTTTCTTCAGTTTATTGCATTAATGCATGTTTTAAATGTTATGCTTAGTCTGCTGCTAGATGTGAGGCCCACAGCTAAAACTTTTGGAGAGGAGGAGAGTTGCCTTTCAGGTTTTGCTGCTCTGGTTGCCTGCTCTGAATATTTGTTCCCTTTGGTCATGATGAAGCACCTAGAACTTGTGGGCCAGAACTCAGTTGTGTTGGCTGCTATGCTAAGTGAGTTCACTTTTTTTTTTTTCTTAAATAGTTTATAGGTAGTGTGCTGGCAGCCCAGTAAATATTGTTCTTTTTATGGCCATCGAAACCATAAAAAATTCTGGTTTGGGATTGGAATAAGGAAGTGGGATACTTTTACTGTATCTTTTGAGAGCTGCTTCTGAACATTAGCATCTTCATAGGGAAAGGCACAAAAGCAATTGAGAAATTTACTAAGATATTCATGGCTGGTCACTTGTAGGACTAGAGCCCTCTTTGGTAGGAGGGCATGCAGCTCATGCTGGAACACAACGTGGAAACAAGTTGGACATGGGAAGAACATGGAAGGATGTACAAAGAAAGAACTGGTGTTGATAGAGTAAGAAAAATGCCAACTTCCAATTCAAAAAAATCAGTTTTTTTTAAAAAAAAACCTTCTGTCATTTGCCTCTCTAGCAAAATGGATGCATGGTCAATAGTAACTGAGGGAGTACTTTTTTTGACAGAGCATGAGAGCTCTGTTTCAGGCTTGCTGGATTTGAATTGACAGCAGGATGTGACACTAGTCACAGAAAGGATTTTGGAGACAGGATGAAATGGTGGTTTTGTCAGAAGAAATAGGTCTGGATTAGAGGGGAAAAAATGAGGGAGATCTGTGAGTCATCTATTTATAATTGAATTAAGGTTTGTGAAAGTGCGTAAGCAGAGGATGTAGGGAGGGGAGAAAAGAGGAACAAGGAAAGAGCCCTATCAGCACCCACAGAAATGTAGAGGGTTCCTCCCATGTAAGCGTTGAAGAGTAGAGGTGGGAGGGGAATTAGGAGGAATGTAATTACAAAAGATGTGGGAAGGGCCAGGTTTCCAGATGGGGATGATGATGGTGAGGAAGGTGTATGACTGTCAGAAAAGGTGAAGAGGGAGCATCAGTTCTGAGAGGTTAAGAAGGTTTTTGGCCTCTAAAGATATTGGTAAGAGCTATTTCAGGGACAGAAACTTGATTAAATGGGATCTAAAGATGGATCTGAAGGAGAAGAGCTCCTGATCACTTGTAAATTGTGCGTGTATGGATCTGAAGGAGAAGAGCTCCTGATCTGTAAATTGTGCGTGTGGGGGCAGAGATGAAAGGGCACTAGTTAAAGAGTGGTCAAGAGTAGGGATTTTGTTTTGTTTTGGGGGTGTTTGTTTCTGTTTGAATATTCAGAGCACAAAATGTATTTTTACAGTGCATTTTAGCAGAGAGAAGGAGAAAGAAGCAAGTTGAGCTTAGTTTAGGAAAAACCTGGGATCTTATCCTGGTGAGATCATGGGGCAAACAGAGGAGGTTGGAGAAGAGAAAGACACAATTTGATAGTGGAAGGCATGGAGAAGGTGGGAGTTGGAGCTGGGAATTGACAGTGAGTTGCAGAAATAAAGTTACTAGTTGCTAACAAGTATAAAGGCAGTTTTAAGGGGTCTTGTGCTTTTCTGATACAGCTAAATAGGTTTCTAATAATAATTCAGCAAAGCAAAGGCTACACTATGACAATGTAGCAAATATTGCTTTCTGATTGGAAAGACTAAAGAACTGTAAGTTCTAAGTAATATTTAGATCCTAAAATTAGAATAAAAATACTTAAGTCATAATCTCTTTCCAAGAGTTTTTCAACTTTCTGAATTCCCAAATTTCATTTAATTTTATTATATCAGTTTTATCCTCGTATTTCAAGCTGATATCTGGGTTTTAAGCTTCTATCAATTGTCCAGCGTTTCATGGTGAATTATGTGGATTTGTGCGGCGGGGAAAAAAAAAGCTATGTATATAGAATGTTTTTTCAGCTTTTTGTTTTCTTGGTGTTTCTTGGTGTAGCTACTTATTATTTGTCTCACTGTTTTTGTAATGCACTGCTAAGTGTTTACACTTCTGCCAGCAAGTCAGATGATTCCATAAATACCGTGAACCACCAATACAGAAGCTAATAATTACTTTTATCTTACAGATGAGACCGTTGCCTGCTGGTTTTTTGGAAGAAGTGCTCAAAGGAAATGGGTAGTTATTCGGACTTCAGTGCAGAGAACCTCTCCTCCTCAGCCAACATGTCTGTTTCTTTGCTTGGGGAGGCTGCGCTCAACAGCACGGCCAGCCCTCCCTCTATGTCCATAAGCAGGCTCTTCCCAGCCCTGCTGGAGTGCTTTGGAATAATCCTCTGTGGCTACATAGCTGGAAGAGCTAACATCATCACATCGACTCAGGCCAAAGGACTGGGAAATTTTGTCTCCCGTTTTGCACTCCCAGCTCTGCTGTTCAAAAACATGGTGGTACTTAACTTTTCTGATGTGAATTGGTCCTTTCTGTACAGTATATTAGTTGCCAAAGCTTCCGTATTTTTCTTAGTCTGTGTTTTAACATTGTTGGTGGCCAGTCCTGAGAATCGTTTTAGCAAAGCAGGTTTGTTTCCTATTTTTGCTACACAAAGCAATGACTTTGCACTGGGATATCCAATAGGTAAGTAGCTACTTAGGCTTTCTTTCTTTTTTTTCAGTTATTTTTAATTGCTCTCAACAGTTTTGCTTTTCTGTTTCCATAGTTTGAAATGAACTTTTGAACTGAAGTTGTGAACTACCTAACTATTTCTCAAGTCACAAATCAAATTAACTTTTTAAAATAAGTGATTAGTTAATTCTCAGATTGCTTACTCTTTAATAAAAGAAGAAAAATGTCACCTAGCAGAATGAGACAAAATTTAAAACAATTTGACTGTGGTTGTCTATGAGTGATCTAGCCATATTAAGTTAAATTGGATTTAAAAACAAAAAACACTAAAATCTTTTTTAAATGGTATAAGCTACCTTACACTTACTGCATGCTAAGAATGTTCTTATGAGAAATTACCAAACTTAACCTCAAGACCAAACCTTCCTGCCAAAAAAATGAGCCTACAAGTGCGGTTTTTGAAATAGCTTAAGTTTACTAATTTTTACAAATTAGTTAACTAATTTGGCATTGTTGATCTGGCACAAGGAATTCATCTAGCATAATATTGCTGTGTACCAGTTACGACAGCCGTGTGTTGAAGCTTAATCGGTTCAGAAGAAGCATCCAATTTCTGTACTACTAAACTTATTTTGTGTCGCAAATCAATTTTTGTCCACTGATCTTTGTTCTACTGTAACCAGTAGACATGCCCTAGGCTATGTCCTGGGAGGAAATGAGCCCTTTAAAAGCACGATTATTGTATGGTTTGTAGTTTTTCTCTAATCCGAATCATATACGGATATGGCGATGCCTTTCTCATTATGTGCTGATAAACGTCAGTCCACTGCAGTTTTAAAAAAAAATCAGAATATAACTTATGTAGTTATGTACACTTTTTTTTGAAAGTCTATAGTTGGAATTTCAAGCAATATAAATAATTAAAGTTGAACTTATTTCAATCTATAAGGCTATTATTTTCTTCCTTTTTGTTAAGCAAGACTTCTTTGTTTGTTTGCTTTTTTCCTCCCCTCTCCTTTTGTAGAGGTTTTGCTGATGGCTTGCTCATAGGCTTTTAGCCCTGTGTACCATGACACTTAGGAAGCGGTTGTGGCAGGTTTCTTGTGCCTACTGCTGTGTGAAGTGCAGGTTGCTACCCCCTTTGGGAGGCTGTTCTGTGCCCAGGTAGCTTTCAGGGCTGCCACGGCCTCTGCGGCTGGTGTGGAAAAGCCCCCAGCAAGTACCAGTGCTTCCCAAATGCCCCTCGTGTGGATGGCGTTTGGGGAAGGTGCTGGGACTGTGCTGTGTTTATCACAGCGCTGCTCCCTGGAGGGCAAGCTCTGTATGCCTCTGGAGCTCGCTTGAGATTACCCTTATCATCCAGACCAGGGTAAGAACAAAGAAAGGAAACAAGTTTGTTCTAGCAGAGTAAAACGCAAGATATTTAATAACAGAATTGCAAGTACAGTTATGAAACAGAAGCGTAGATATGCAATTCTAGATTACACTTTGCAACAACTTGTACTGTTTTTTAGATGAACTTGAGGAGCAGGCAGCTGTGTTCCTTGTACTGCACAGGGCAGCATGCTCTGGAAAATCCTGAATCTTTCTTATTCCCTTAGTTTGCTGAATATGTGTAAAGTATAGACAAATGCAATTGCAGCCTTTTTCTTCCTTAGATCATAATAACCATGTTTCCCTCGGATGCTTCTCCTAAACTTATTCTTCTGGTGTGTGGTTTTTTTTTGGTTTTTTTTCCCCCCCCCCCCAAGATAACTCAGACAGATGGGGCTGTGAAGATCTGCTTTGCCTCTTGGCCTTACATTGCAGTTGCACTTAGCATTTCTCTCTCTTGACCTTCAGCCTTCTCTCTACATCTCCTTCCACTGTATTCTCAGAGTTAAAACCTCTTTCTCTACATCTCCTTCCACTGTATTCTCAGAGTTAAAACCTCCTTCTACTTTGAATGGCTTTCATGTCAGTTTACTTTTTTCTTTTTTCAGACATTTTGCCACTTTCAAAATATGAAGAATATCTCTGCTATGATACCAAATTCAAAAATTTTAGTTCATAAAGAGTTTTAGTGGAATGCCCAACACTACAGTAATAGAGGTTCTAACCCCTTTGGAGTTCTTTATCTCTTAGGGCTTGTATTTTCTTTCTGTTCCTATCCCCAAACTTTTGCCAGTGTCGGGTTTTTGCTGTCAAAAGTGCCAAAGAAAGAAAAACCAGAGAGTGAGTAGTTCTGCTAGCGGGTGACTTTCTTTGCAAATGTGTGGCAGTGTTCAGGACACCTGTAGGTGAGGCGCTTAGGGACATGGTTTAGCAGGCAAGGTGGGGATGGGTTCACAGTTGGACTGGATGATCTTCAAGGTCTTTTCCAACCGTAATGATTCTATGTCAGAATGGTAATTCAGAGCAAATAAAGTTTTGGTGGTTATACATAAATAAGTAGATCTTGTGAGCAGAGATGCTTTTAGATTTTTTCCACATACACTATTCTCTTCTGTATTCAGCCACAAAAAGTCAAGCTGTATAAGTATTGTTGTTCCTTATAGTCACATAAAGCACAACTTAAGCTTCTGCAAGCATATCAATGCCTTTTTTATGCATTGTGGCAGATATTCTTTACTGTATATGTTGTAATTAAGTCGCTGTTAAATGTAAAGTTAAGTTTTCATTATTCATCTTGGAGAAGTAAATCAAAGACTCCTGGAGAGGATGCAGCTCACTGGCTTGCAGTTTTTTGTTTCAGCATAGCAGCACAGCATAGCTGAATTCCTTTCACTGCTCCTGCAACTGTTGCTAATAACTCAAGTACTCTGAATAATGTTAATTATGTGGAATGCAAAAGCTCTGAGTGAAAGTGAGGTGCTTAATCTAGCAATGTAAGGAAAGTAACTGAAGAAGGACTCTTGTAAGCTAATACTCTACTGAAACCTCAAAGTATTCTGAAAGGATTTTGACTTGTTGGCCGCCACCTGATATTCTTGGTTTCAGAGGTGCTAGCCTGTGAGAAGGATCAAGCAGGTCTTTACTTTGGCAGAAATATTCAGAAAACTTGTTATCGTCTTTCAGAAAAGGTTTATCCTGATATCATTTACCTAGTACTCATTGCTACCGAGAAATGAAATTGAGGCTTTTTCTTCCTTCATTTTGTTTCGAATGTTATTTTGAAGTTATTTTGCCTATGCAAATGGTTTTCAATTTGTGTACAAAATGTCTACCCTACAGGTGGCTACGAAAAGGAGCTCGTTTTTTAAAGATCTTTTCTTTTTCTTCACAATGCTTTTTTTGTATGTCTGAACAAGTTACACTAGGTAATAACTCACACACAAACCATGAGATGAGAGTTGAGATTTGGATACTGATTTTGATTTTTTTCTTGGCACTGAGATGCTGGTGTTCATCTGCCCCACACAATCTCTTGTGGAATCTACTGGCAGTGCTGGAAATACATAGTTCAGCAAAATAGAAATGTTATAGATTAATCTGCATTATGTTCTCTACTCCTGTGTGTGGAACTTCCAAGAATCATGTCATGCTCCTGCAGTTACTTCTTGTGGAAGAGAAGAGGCAGAAATACTTAGATGAACCCCTCTTTATAGGGAAGACAGATATAAAAATGGATCCAGGAAGCTTAATTTGCTGTTTCCCACTGTTGCGCCAGACTAGTGGAAATGAAATCTTCATAAACCACCAACTGCCTCACATAGCTGTCTGATTTTAAAAAGGGGATGTAAGGAGCAATACTGGGGTGGCAAGATCTGTGATTTCTGTATTAAGCTGATAAGTAGCCAGTGCAATTCTTGCTCTTTTTACAGACAGACCAAGTAAGCCAAGGAAGAGGTAGCTCGCTGCCTAGTCAGGACAGAACACAGCTGTGTGTCTGAGGAAACCAATGGCTTACCCAGCGTTACAGAAACAAGCCATGCTCTGGTCACAGCTCTTATCCCAAGGACTTTCAGAGAATGGATTAATAATTTTATGCTAATATACTTTTTAAAATGTTGTTATTGTTGTAATTGTGTCTTATGTAATAAGCATAGGAAGATCGCACCAAGTCACCCACTGGTAGTTGGTTATCTTTTAAAGACACAAGACCATCAGCTTGCATCCTGCAAACGTGCTTGTGTTTCTGCATGACTTGCCTGTGGCTCTGAGGAGGAAAAGCCATTCGGTGAAAACAATCACTTTGTTTAGTGTTGGGATGAATCAAAGGGCATGTGGGATTATTTATGTTGCTTAGCAATGTTAAAATCCTGAAAAGGAAGGAGTTTATTTTTTCTGTACCTATTGAATGTTCAGAGGATTGTTAAATAGTGATGGATTGTTCATCTTTGATCATCAGTATTTTACATGACTGTGACCAAATTGCAAGTAGTTGTGCTTTTCTTAACTATGTATTCTTACATCAGTTGTAAATGCTGTTAGTTCTGAAAGATATGGCAATATTTTTTTCCTCTACCTCTCAGACAACAGAGATTAATTTCAATATTAGTTTGTTGTTGTTGTTACTGTTTTTTTTTTACTGCAGTATTATCACTCATCATTTATCATTTCTGTCTTCTAGTTGAAGCTTTATATCAAACCACGTACCCAGAATATCTCCAGTACATTTACCTAGTGGCTCCAATATCCCTTATGATGTTAAACCCCCTTGGGTTTATCTTCTGTGAAATACAGAAGTGGAGAGAGAATCGCACTGTGTCGCACAGCAAAATGAAAATAGTGGGCCTAGCACTCCTTCGAGTCTTGCAGAACCCAATTGTATTCATGGTCTTCATAGGAATTGCCTCAAACTTTATTCTTGGCCAGAAGATTCCAGAATATCTTGAAAACTTCCTCGATGGACTGGGCAGTTCATTTTCTGGCTCCGCGCTTTTTTATCTTGGACTAACTATGGTGGGACAAACAAAAAAAGTGACAAAGGGTATGTTTGTTGCACTGATCCTTCTCATCACAGCTAAACTGTAAGTTCAACTTTTATATATATTATTTAAAATGTTCCAATATGTTTAATCCATGATTATAGCGGTCAAATGGCTTTGTGCTTACAATCCTTGTAATAGTGCTAAGTTTCACCTCAAGCATTTTAGATGAGTTCTTTCTGACGTCTTTGATAGAATATGACTATTAATAGAAAAAAAAATCAAACCACGAATCTGTTGTCAAACTCCACAGTTAATCTAAAAAAAGCTCTATGGCTTCATGAACTGTCTGCAGGTCACTTACCACATGTTGTATGGGAATATAAGCTCTTTGGGAAACAGCTGGCTTAAAATTTACCTGTTAAATAGTCAGACAACAATAAATGCAAATATTACTTGAATAGCCTTTCCGTTTTCTTTGGATTAGATAACAAATCTTTGAATTAGTTTGTTTTCTTCACAGTGTCTTTAAAGCTCCCGAGCTATTTTGAAAGCGGTTAAAAATGATCACACTCTTAAACTGTCTGATTTTTGAGCTTGAATAAAAGACAATTTTATATATAAGCTTATGCTATCTTTATCTTTCCTTGAATATGCCTCAATTGCTGGTAAACAAAATATTTTATTTTCTATGGATCTAAAATTTGCATAACAATCATTATTTTGATGGAATTCATACTGTAAAAATTGAAGATATGAAAATGTGGAGATTTGAGTATTGGTGCAATTAACTAATTAAAGACCTAGTTTGTAAGTTAGAGCAATGATACACATGCAAAATGCATGGGAAAAATGAATGCTGGTTAATGTTACCCCTCTGCTTCATGGGTGAATCTTTGTGCCCCCATGCGTGAGGCTTGAGCAGGGGATGCTTGTAAGGTCTAGGGTATTGCTAAGGGCAAAGCAAATAGCTTCAACTGAGATTCTCATGCTGGGCAAAGAATTTCAGAGCGGAAATTCTCTTAGTCTTGAGCCCTTGCTTCATGTCAGAGACCTTAATCCTGCCCTCTGATTTTCATAGCAGTTCTGAGTTTTGGTTTTATATTTTATGCTTTGAAAACTGAAGTCATACAAAAAAAAGATATCTGACTGTCAGGAAATCTACTTGTATCCCAGAAATTAACTAGTGTGTTCTTTAGTGTTTCTTTTATGTATTTTTTTTCCCCAGTTTAACTTGTGACTCCAATTTTGGAAGCACCTGGTAAATGCCGTGGTAGCAGTAAAGGCAATCACTAAAAGTGATGTCATTATTTCTCATAAATAGCATTCAGACAGGCTTTAAATGTCTATTAGTTCCTATTCTCAGCAAAGTGGAGCTCAAGCCTTTAGGCTGAGTAGTCTTTTCCCTTTCTTTTCAGACTTATGATGCCATTTCTCTGTAGAGAAATGGTGGAACTCTTGGACAAGAGTGATGACGCAGTCAACCACACCAGTTTGTCAAACTATGCATTTCTTTATGGAGTCTTTCCTGCAGCGCCTGGCGTGGCAATCTTTGCAACTCAGTTCAACATGGAAGTAGGAATTGTATGTAATGACTCCTTACCAAAATGTCCTAATTTTGTACTTCAATTGTTTTAAAAAGCTTGTTGAAATTACTTCTCTGTAGTATAGACTCTGTAGGTTTACTTATCCTGCCTAGAACTCAAATCTGAATTACATTTCAAATCATTAATTAATCAAAGTAATTTTGCTTGGTGACTCCTACACTGGAGTCAACAGTATCTTTGACATCTGTGAAAAAGCTCTGTACGAATTTGTAGTAGGGAACTCTGTATTCATGTTATTTCAGAAACTTCTTAAAAACACCCATTTAACAATCTCTATAAAGCAGATATTTCCTGGATCAAATTCAAATAGATTTGTTGTGGAAAGAACTCCGTGATTGCTTAAAGCTCTGTGTACGTTTAAGTCTCGGACATCATTTTAGAAGTCGATGCATTCCTAAAGACAGGTTATTTGACCTGAGATGCGACTAACCCTGCTCTGGTTTCTTCCTGCCCCTTTGCAGATTACCTCGGGCATGGTGATCAGCACGTTTGTGTCTGCCCCCATCATGTACGTGTCTGCGTGGCTCCTCACCATCCCGTCCATGGACCCCAACCCGCTGGCGGCGGCGCTGCAGAACGTCACCTTCGACATCAGCGTCGTCAGCCTCCTGTCCCTCGTAGGTGCTGCCAAAGAGAAGCCTCGTGCTACTACTGGTTACCTCACAGGGACTAACTACCCCAAAGCTTGTGCTCGGATAGCATAGAGGCTATACACAAATTTCAGCTGGAATTCAAGCCCCTAAAACATTAATTAATATTTAATTAATGAGTCTTAATCATAATATTTAATTGGGAGTTATTTTAGCTTTATTAATTTCCTTTCGTAACAGTTCTAGTTACCAAGTTCTTAAAAGGGGATGGGATGTGACAACCCAGATTTCCAAAGTGCATTATACTTTGGCTCTACAGGTGCTATAAATAGTGGGTTTTTTGTTGTTTGCTTTTTGTTTTTTAATAAAAAGTTCTACATTGGAGGAGGCTGGAATTTTCCTAAATTAGTGTTTCACTGAAATCTTCATGTTATGACACATGCCCCAAGGGAAACAACAAGTGAAGATCGCCCCTTGCTGTCACGAGTCATTCTGAGAGATTGAAGTAAGGGTGGGATGGAGACGTCTAACAGCCAGATTGCCCGACAGTTCCACGTTTGTTCCTGAGAACTTAAGTGAATTTGCATGATTGCCCTGAGGAGCAGCCAGTTTCTGCGTATCATAGGCAGTCTCTTGGTACTCCCTGGAAATATTTCAGCATCATGAGTAAACGAAAACGTGATTGGTGGTGGTGGTGGTGGTTTTTGTTTTATTCATGGCCATGTTTCCCGTGGCACAGTGACTAGCAGCAGGCCGTGCGGTACTGACTTTCATACGCAGGAACCAGCATCATTTATAGCTTGATGCAATGGAACTTGTCAGGAGGTTTTGTTGTATGTTTAATTCCAGCAGAGTTTGTCATCTTATTCTTTCGTTTGTTCATTTGTTTGCTTGTTTATAGTCTTAAATTCGATTTTATTTGTGTGTTCCAGATCTGGTCTCTCATTGTTGTTCTTCTGAGTAAGAAATACAAACAGCTTCCTCATATGATTACAACAAACCTACTTGTTGCTCAGGTAAGCAGAAAGAATAATGCCTTTTTAAAAAAGTCTTATTTTTAACATTATTGCAAGATTGCTTTCTACAATCATATCTTTTTAGTTGTCTGAGAGAAGGGGAATCTAATGTGCGGTGTGTCTAAACAATATTTATGCCCTAGCATGTATTCTTGGGAGACTTAAGTGACACTAAATGGTGTCAGTGTTATTTAAGCTTGCAGAAAATTATATAGAATGCCTGTGCCTCCTTTTGTTGAAGTCAACAGCAAAGCTGCTAGTAAATTCAGTGAGACCATCGTGTGAATGTAAAATATCTGTACAGAAAGCACCTTAAATGTTTTGTAGAGCTATACCATTCAAAATACTGAAGTCTATAAAGCCCTCTAATGGGGTCACATTTTGAAAATTATGTATGTGACTATCAGCTGCTTCTCGTCTCTAATAGCATGAAGTTAATTTTTAAATATTTTTAAGCTGCTGTATTACTTTTGAAGCCAATTTCTTAAGATGCCTTCAATACTAGTACTGTCATATATGAGATACTGCAGGTCAAAATTTTTGTAATTCTTGGCTGAACAGTGCTTTTTGGCGTCAGCTTTATGTCCAAATGCTTTCAGACAAATGCTTTGTACTTACCACAAGCTTTGCATTTTGCTTATTACAAGATGCATAAAGATCAAGATTACATATTTTTCCTGACCTGTCTTATTATTGTATTGGTTTACAGCTCTGCAAGCTGTTGAATTCATAGAATTATGAATTCCAGTGAATTTAGGAATGGAGTTCGAAACCTTTTTGTAGCTATGCTGCGCTGTAGTTTTTTTTGTTGTTTGTTTTTGCTTGCCATCCTGCTTTTCCAATTCAACTTATGGTGTCTCTTCTTTCTTCTCAGTTTACTGCTTGCATCGGAATGGTGATATGGAATTTCATTGTTAAGGAGAAAGACATCACTGTACAGATCCTCGTATTTATATTCCTGTACAGTGCACTTTATAGCACCTACCTGTGGACAGGTATGATTTGGCGGGAGGAAGAATTAGATGGTCTAACAGAAAATTGATGCACTGAAATAATTGGATCATATCCTTCAGAGTGATTACTATTTATATGTACTACAATATTTTAGGTAGACACTTTTTGCTATTCTGAAATGTTAGCAATGCAGAAGGAAGTGTCAGGCAATGGTTCTGCTGTTGGTAGTTTGTGCCTAGACGTGTCTCGTTCGTCTTTGCTAGATGCAGCAGCCTTGTTTGCTTGTAAGGAGGACAAGAGCCTGTTCTCGAGGCAGAAGCAATTATGAACAGACTGAATGGTGGCAGGTTGCTCTTCAGCAATGCAAAAGCTTATTGACAATTTTATTTAATGCAGAATGCATATTTTACATTTTTCTTCCACTGTCAACTGCAAGTTCTAAAGACAATGTACATGTTCTGCAGGTGTAGGTGAGGAGTCAAAGGGCTGTTTTGAAGCAGATACGGTTATAGGATACATCAAAGGAGAACTTCATTATGTATAATTTTAAAAAACAGGCTATGGGTGTTCAAGAAACTTTATTATATACCATTCCCGAGTCCAGAGGTCTAAGGGTTTAAGACTGTGGTGTTTTTGTGGAGCAGGGTGTTTCAGCAGCTCTTGATTAGTAAAATGTGTGTAATGCTCTCCTTGCTTCAACAAGAACTAGATTTGATCCTACAAAACTTGTGTGTCACATTGACCACACATTCATGGTTGTTTATAGAGGCTACATGTTTAGGTGTGTGCATGCACATATACTGCAAACAGTGAAGTGTCCCTCATATGTCAAGGTTGCCTTAAATCTTAAAAGCTATTTGTTGAATTTATTATTCTAGATGAGGTGACCCTGTTATTACAATAAGTGCTCTTTGTTAGAGAGCTTTTTTTATTTTAACTTTTAAGGAAGACTATATTTGTAGGTGTGAAGCTTTACCAGAGATACTTCTGTTTACTGCGGTTGCTAAGCAGTCCAGTTGCATTCTGCACAGTGAGTCCGTTACGGGCCATGAGCTACAAGTTCTGTCCATGGTGTTTGTTTAAAACAAAGCAAAAAAGTTAATGCCCTAACACCTTGCATTTATGCTAATTTTGTAAAATGCAACAAGAGCGCTGTATTTTAACCAATTTGATTATCTTCATCAGAAAATGGACAGGCTGTATATTGTCCGTTCCCTGCATTGCTGCCCCTTCTATCTTTCTGACTTCCAAGTTTTTCCTGTCTTTGTTACTTTCCAGTATTGCCTGTTTTTTCCTTGCTTTGTCATCTTCCCTTAGGAGAAAATGGCCCACACATAGGACCCGCAGGCAGGGGAGCTGAGCTGCAATGCAATAAATAGTTGGGGGTCAATGAGCTTTTGTCAGTGAGTTCTCTAGTATTTTCCCAAGCTCCTGAGTGTGAAGAGAATGGGCAGACCCAGAACCTAGATAAATGTAAATTACGTGCACACACACACACACACAAAAGTTGGTAAAGGATTAATCAGTTTTTAAATATTAGTTACTACAGAATGCAATATGAAAAGTGAATATGAAGTATGCCAAATGTCTTCAATGTTTTATTAATAATAATCTTTCTCAAAGTAATTGATGTTCCTATTTTACTTCAATGCAATAAATCTAGAAAAAACATTTTAGACTATTATAAGGCCTGAAAAAAGAACGTCTTATTTGTTGAACAGGTTGCATCATAAGGGTGTCTAGATTTTGTAACTGTCGCTTCCCTCTTTGGTAATAAGCAAAGTATTTCTTTCTGTTTTCCTAGGTTTTCTGTCTTTCTCTTTGTTCTTATTGAAGAAGAGCGAAGCAATAAAGATTCCCATGGGGTTCATCATCATAGCTGGATGGGGGTAAGTTGGTATAGCTGTTTATAAAATAAGTGGCAACATGGTAATTAACCTGCTTTGACTGCTTGTATTTTGCTCTTTCAGTATCCCAACACTCCTGGTAGGAATCTTATTAATAGTTGGTGAACGTAACAACGATAGCATTGACTCTGCCTTTTTTTATGGAAAACATCAGGTATGAACATTTCTGTCCTCACCTCTTCTTACTCCTGCCTTGTCTAATACATTATTGAGAAACTCTTGTTCTCTGGTTGCTTCTTATGTAAGTAATTTTCAGTCAAATTATAGGCTATCATAACAACAATATCATTATAAAAGATCAGGGTGTAGATTGATATAAAATGTATATTTCTAATGAACCATTAGAAGAACTTGTTTAAACAAGGACCTTCATGTTTAGGCAGCCGTGACTAAGAAAAAGAGGGAGTAGGTCCCCCCCACAAAGAGGCTTAGGAGTGGTAATGAATTACAGGGTCTCTTTCCTGATGACTACTCAGTTTAGCTTGATAACTATCTGAAGTTGTTACCATCCAATAGCTAATTAATGTATTTTGGCCTCTGATAGATAGAATCTGCATTACATGTGTAGCAGTAACTGCTGGCTGTATGGAAGACATCTCTGCTCAATCGAGGATTGAAAGTCCCTGAGCCTGAACCGCGGTTTTACCAATAAATGGTTCTCCTTAATAAAGGATGTGGCACTGGAGTAGACATTTGTGTTGTTTTCTCTCTGCCCTTTTTATGGATTAAGAGGCTCAAGATTATTCCTGACACTTTCACAAGTACTAAAATAGCCTCAGGGTGGACTCTGGGAATGCGTGGCAGATGATTAGAAGGAAAGGATAATTAATGGGGTGTTCCCTGTATGAGAAGGCATAGAAACAGAACTGTGCCAGAACACATTCCTCCTTAGAATTAAAAGGTCCATAAATAGGACTTGGAATGGAGTGGTCCCGAGGGGAGGGAAGGTGATGATGAAATTTCATAGCAAATAGTTGAAAAATGCTGTATTAATGTAAATAAATATAGTAACAAAATAAATAGTAATAATGGTAATGACAGTAAATACAGAAAACTATTCAGATGTATTTAGAAAAATAATAAAGTTATAGAGAGAGATATATGCAAGTAGTTTCCTTTCAACTTAGATGCATCTTCTTTGTTCTCTTAACAGATAATTACCACAGCAGTGATCCTGTTTGTTAGCATATTGATGTCAGGAATCTCACTTATGTGCATGAACAGAAGTAGACAAGAGTCAAGTTATGAGGTGCTGAATCCCTACTCGCCTCGCAGCGCCGGGGAGGAGGCGGAAGCCGAAGGGAGCGAGGGGCCTCCGGTGTCGCCCGCAGGCCCTGCGGCAAAGCCACCCGCCGGGCCCGTGGCACAGCCCTCTGCGGGGAAAGGTAGAGACCCCGAGTGCTTGGGGTGCCGCGGAACTGTGCCGAATTTGCTTCCAGCCTGAGAAGAACTTTGCTTCAAACTTGAAGTGCTATTGTAGGATGGAGAAATGTCTAGATATAGCTGTGCAAGGATCTAGGCTTCTGTTTCCAAGGGAAGTTTGACGGCTGTCACTGTTTGGGTGGGTTAAACAGAGGCAAAAAGAAGGCGTGTGCAGATGTTTTTATGAAACCAGTGGTGTTGCGATAAGCATGTGGTAAATACAGTCCAGGAGGCACCCTAGGCTGTTTGTCTGCCAAAACAGACTTTCAAAATGGATATGCACCTCAATGCTCAATGTACTTCCAATCCTCCTGGTTTATGTCTGGCCTCTTGGTCATTTATCTTACATTTTCCCTATAGTTCTAAGTACCTGCGTAGCTTCCACCGTGTTAGTGCTGTGTTAGGTATTTCTGTATATAAATATTGTGACCCATAGGCCCTCTCTGCAAATGGGAAGAGTATGACTGCTTTTTCCTCTGAAGTTATTTGTGAAAGCAATAGATAAAACTTTATAGTAGATATTGTTACACTTAATAAACTATAGTAGTGAAGGAAACTAACTATCCTGTTACTATATGTGCCTAATAGGCTGCTGTTGTCAACAAACAAATGGTGATTTATCCTGTGCCAGAGAGAGCAAAGCAGCGTCAGATGCCATCGAAAGCAAGATTCCTCCAATTGAGGCAGGTAATACAGAAGTGCAACCCTGTTTAACACTATGAGTTTTTCCATAGTATCTGTGTCTGTTGTTCTTTCAGTTCTACCTGGATAACTTCCATTTCATATTAAATTCAAGTCTTGGGCAGTACATGAGGTTTTTTTGTTGTTTTGCTTTCTTTCTTTACTTGACAGATACTGCAAATCTTTTGTTGCTCAAGACAAACAGCTTTTTAATGCTTCATTCTAAGCATTCAGACTTTACCTCTCTATCACTTTCCTGTTTGTGCAGTGAGAAATTTAATGCATGTCCTCTTCTTCCTCCCTCAGTTTTAGCCGTTTTTGACTTACATGCACTTCTTAAATTCTCATACTCACATCTTCTAAAAACGCCTCTGAAACCTGTATTGTAATCACAAGGAGCAAGCACATGCTGCTGACTAGATAAGAACATCATGTTGCTGTATTATCCATATCTGGGAAAGAAGGGACTGAAGGCCTTAAGAGCCACTGGAACAGTAGAATAGATTGAAAAGACTGTCCAGAACCTGATGGAAAATTCTGTATGTTCAGCCCATTCTCACTTTATGTCACTCCCATAGCCAAAACTATCCAAAACAGTGCAACCTTTCCTTTTTCTCTCTTGTTGTTTTTGAATGTTTAACAAGCAAACTTGTTTTCACGTGCACTGTTTGCATGCAGTATAGCTTAACAAATCTGAATTATTTCCCACTGAAACATACTTAGATGCATGTTTTCACAAATGCTCACTTTAGGCCCTCTATGCTTACTCCCACCTTCCTTTTTTCTGGAAAGTAATTCAGATAAGCATCATAAGAATGCTTCCGAATGACGGAGGAAGACAAGTTTAATTTTCTTATCCTGAAAGATAAGATACTGTTTATCTTGAGTATGTCAAGTAGGAATATTTCTGCCTGCTAAGTGAATGCTTCGGAGTTACAAATGAGTGAAAGCCCATGGTATTGGATGCACTTGTTTAGCTTTCACTGTAATAATTACTAATCCTTCTACTATCTCATTGAACTTCTATGATAAGTATCTAGTGCGAATTTTTAGGTATTTTCTTGCCAGGAAGTTTTTTGCTGCCATCTACTGGAAGACGCTCAGAATTCCTTTAAGGTCTCTACCCAGAATAAAAGCAATCATTCTGTATATTTGGCTTTTTGATTGGCAGAATCGTGGCAGCTTTCTGATATGCTATTTTAAAAATACAATAGCATAACTCATATAAATAGGAGAAAGTTGATTGTCTGATCTAGAGCTCAGCAAGGCTGAGATACAGAATAAAAAAAGCTAGAGTTAATAGTATATTTGAAATATATATTTCAGAAAATAATTCCAAGTTTAAAACTTGCACAGAGAAGTTGCAAATTTTTCATTATTTCTATTAGTGACTTCTAAATGTTAACCACAACTTAAGTTTTACATTAATCCTTTCAAATAGAACTAGAACTGTGGATTATTTATTTATTTATTTTAGTATATGTAAGTAACTGATTTGAGAACAGATGTCTGAAAGGGTTATTGACTCACTTTTTTTTTTTTCCTCTCCATTAAATCTTGTAAATTCAGCCCAGATACTTACTGGGGTTACTTGTAACATTAACACACTAACAAATTTGCTCATGGAGCTAGAGATAAGCCATGCTTGTTAGGTCAGAAGCCTAATGCAAAAATCTGCTTTGTTTTTCAGCTGATCAATGTGTGAGTCAGTGCAGTGCTCAAACTTGCATATTGGCGCAGGAAGAACAACTCCTACAGACTGCAGACAAGCAGCTGGCCAGACACGTGTTGCTGTGTCTACTCCTCGTTGTTGGCATGTTCGCTGTAAATATTTTTCTCCTGCTGTTGATTAACTCACTGACATGGAATGGATTTCAGGAGCATTTTTTATATATATATACATATATATATACGTGTGTGTATATATATATATATATATATATAT